TCTCAGTTGCGCAAAAATTCATCTGATGCCTTGTAGGATTTGCTACAACACCAGATATCTTTCCAGATTGTATTTGAATAAAATAACGGCTGCTGAAGATGTAGACGGGGATATAATTGCGCGTGAAACCACTGGATTCACTGGAGCTGAGATCGAAAACATGATCAATCAGGCTGCGCTAAAGGCTGTCGCCGATGGATTTACGAAAGTTTCGATGGCACATATCGAGGAGGCAAAAGACCGTGTCATGATGGGTATGTTTATATCACAGACAGTTGATTTAACAACACCTCTGTGTTGTTTCTTAACTTCAGAGAACACTGTTAAAACGGTTCTTGCTTAAAATAAGGTAACAAATAATACGATATTAGTGGAAGGCAGCTTCACAGCTCAACTGATGGAAAAGCTGACGTACTGGTAAGGCCTGGGCAGAACAGAGAAAACGAGGAGTAGAGTGTTCGGAAGGGGGACAATAAAAATGTAAGCGAGTAAGAAGGAATAACAGCTGGAAACCCTTCATGTGGCAAGGCATTAAGCTGAAATTCAAAGGGACGTTATGGTAAACTTGTTTATTGCATGGGAAACTGTCTGTTTCAGCACTGGGTTGCTTACTTTAACAAAATGCGCGAGAATTGCGACCCATTAAATATAGTCGCCTACCATATGCCAAATCCTTTAAAATAAATTGAGACGTTTCTTATTTTAGGACCGGCACGAATGCGTGGCCGATTGCCGGATGAAGAGGCCAATCGAATAACTGCTTTTCATGAAGCAGGTCATACCCTTGTCAGCATCTACACAAAGTATGCTACTCCTGTACACAAAGTGACGATCATACCAAGAGGCAGCGCTCTGGGGCATGTAAGTTAATTTACTTTTAGTTACTTTCATGTTATTTTCTGGATAGTTGTGTTGATGCACCTGTTCTGTTCAACACTCTTGCAGCGCAGGTACTCATATTTAGACTGGCGCTTCAACAATGCTGTACAAATTCTCGTAAAGCTTTCCTCAGTTTTGTGAAACTAAACCTCTGTTTGTCTAACATACTCCCCTTGGCTTTTGTTGTCCTGACACGCAGAGTTTGGTTTCTGTTTCAAGCTTTTCTGATTCTCTGCAGT